TATTTCCACGGAAAATATTTTCCATTATACTAAATACACCCTATGTTCACGCTTTCATATATATAAAATAAGTACGGTGATTGCACAATACACTTCTTTTTACGACGATTTTAAAACTAGTTAGATTTAGGTATGTGGTATTTTTTTATTAAAAGAAAAAGCAAGTGGTACATTGATGTATGTTTGGAGTAAATCTAAAGGATAAAGGATCACTATGCAAGGTAAAACTGCCTTTGATGAGTGGATGTTATTTTCTTGTCTTTCTTTTCAAAGGAAAGTTTTTTTTTTTTTCCTTTTTGTTTTTTAAAAACTCAGAGACGAGGTTTGCCTAAGATTTCAATCTTAACTTTTTCATTTTTGGACCAAGAAAAAAAAATATCCTTTTTCATTTGGTACAATATTCCTTATAATGGACCTATGCTAACCAAAAGCGAAGAGAAAAAGAACAAATTAAAAGAAGAGTCTATTAGTCATCGACGTTATAATTGGTACACAAAAGTAAACTGTATTATAGTATAATGTACTGTAGTATTTCTGTTTATTTTTTCGAAAAGCTACTATATAGTGAAATATTATTCTTTAATTTTTCTTACTAAATATAACTAATAAAGATTTGATTAAGCGAAATCCGTGGCCAATCGGTGATTTTACAACGTTATGCACAATGGATTAGGTTAAAACAAATTTGATTATTATGGTAATCTTGTTAATGACAAGTATTTGCAAGCAGAAAGAAAAAACAAAAGAATTCTGTCATATTTTGAAATTACACAAAAACTTTTGTTAAAGATGTGCTGAAATAATTCATGGTTATAACGTTAATTAAGAAATTAATTGACTTCCGATGAATAAACTAAAAGCGCTTAAAAATGGTTTAGTGCATGATAAGTCAATAACAATGATTATTTAAATATACTTAGTTCCAAAGTAATTGCTATTATCAAACTCCACCGAGAGCTAGCCTAACAAATTAGTTCAACTTTTCAATTTTCTTTATGATTTATGATTACACAGAGAGAAATAAATGACTATTTCATACGTTACCAGGCGATTCCAAATTTATCCCGCAGAACTATCCCATATTATATTGGATCCATCAAATGTATGAGTACCAATTTTCCATAAGATTGTTTAGCTCTTTATAAGAAAAGGACTGTATATAGATATAAAGTTGTAGTAAAACATTAATTTCACATTGTTTTATGAGGCATAAGGTAAAAAAGGTCCACTAGCAGAAACTTTTAAAAAATACAAAAGAGTTCATAACCCAAATATTATTCCTATGTTTTAATCAGAATACTTCTTAATTACTACTATCAGATTATTTTTTTCTAATTTTCTTTTGTTCTTAATAAGAGGTCATTGTTATTTGTTCCTCAAGTTTATCAATATATTTTATCCTCTGATATCTCCCTCTCTACTAGATAATGCTATGGACCTGTAACACTATTCTTGTACTGTAGGTAGACTTCAGACAACGTTGAAACGTAAATACTTATGAGCAATTATTCTAATGTTTATACAAAATTATAAATTTATCAGGGTTAAGTAATTTAGTAAAGAAAAATTAAATATTCATTTTGCCATAATTAAATGAGAAAAGTATATGTGCAAATACCTGGCATGCACTATATAATTAGAGAAATCAGATACGAGTAAGTTTTTATTGTCTGGAAGAGGGTGATTTAAGTTGTATGCACATGGCTGGGCAAGATATTAATATCTATACAACAATGTTACTTATGTTAGATAATTCTAGGAAAATCTCTATACAGTAGTAAGAAGGTCACCTAATAAATATAATATGTTAAACCATATTGATTACACTACAATTCTTACATAATTCGTGCATATCAATAAAATCCTTATAAATAAATGCTTATATATTTTCTACAAACATTCCTTTTAGCGTTACTAGTTGACCAGAAGAGAACTTTAAATCCCATGTTGGAGAAAGAAATAACACTAATATTCTTCTGGAAGCCCCACACGGTGTACGAATACATGCAATTGACCAAAATACATCCATTAGAAGAAGGAGAAGCAGCAGCAACAGAAGAAATTGTTCAAAACATCAAGAAATAAAAAGATTAAAGACGACAATGGAAAGGGGTGAAGGAAGGGAGCTAAACAACTACGAGTTACAAGTATCTTTCTCAGCACCTCATGATTTGGGATTTGTACACTTTGCAGATCATAACCAGATGATGAGCTTCTTAGCTCCTCCTTCCTCACACTCACAGCTGTCTTCTCAAATACCTCAGCCTCTTCAAGTTGCCGCCGCCACCACCGTTACGCCTCCCACCACCACCACAAACGCCACCGCTGCTGCCGCCTCGAATAACATTAGCAGTGCCCTAGGGTTTAACCACAATGAACTTGTCAATAGACCTTCTTGGAATAATGACCAGGTAATTATTCGGTTGTTTTACAGACTTCTTCTCATCTCATCTGCTTAAGTTTTGATGAACAAAAGTCACGACATATTTGTATTGATGGAAGATAGCAAGTATCAGATGCTCGCAAATTGATCCAGCCACTACTATCATATGGGAAAAAAATAATACAAGCTTCTTGTCTTTGTGATATAACACAATCAAATATTCCGATATCTCTTTTAGGGTTTCTCTATTTTATTCTTAATTTACTTTGTGCTCATCTCTTTTGTTGATTAATTAATGGTGTGTATTCTATGGATCATCTCTACATAGGTGGAAACACTAGATCCCAAGGTTGTTAATGACGAAAATTGCAGCGGTAATGCCAGCGAGGGTAACAATTCATGGTAGCTCTCCCTCTATATCTCTCTGAGTTATTTTCAAAATGACAATAAAATGTTCTATTAGTCTTTCACCATCGGGCATAGTTTTCATGCTTACAAATTCATTCCATCTGAATCTAAAGGAATGGAGCCTTGAATGGTAGATATCTCTTAATTAAGAACCGTCTAAGTTTGTTGTGGAAACGGTAAAAGATTCTTCAGCCTTAATATGATGTCATAAGTTTGAGTCCCGAATATGGAATTCTTTTTCAGTGGTGAGCACTAAAACTTCTCAACTCATGATGGGTTTCCTACGGCGGTGAGCGTATTCAAATTAGTCAGACCAGTAAATTACGGATGTTTGAAGAGAAAAAAGCAGTCTTTGCTCCTCTATTTTCAATCCCACTATTTAATACCCTAGAGAAGTTTCTTCATGCTTTAGATTAGAATCTACGAAGATCTAGGAATTCAGGCAGACATATAATTTCATGTAATGTCTCTAGGCTCTTTAATTATATTCAACATGTGTATAAATACTGTGGGTTTGTAGTACTATGTGGTGGACGGTGTAGTGCAGTTTGAGAAGGACAAAGTGCTACATCCACTTATATTATAATGCTCAACTATTTTTACCCACATGTGTTTCATCAGATTCAACACGTATGATTAGACTTCATTTTTTGCTACCAGAAGTATCTGTATATTTTTGTATATATTATTTGAACTCAAGTGATTACTAACATTGGGTTCTCTAATTAAACGTGTAGGTGGAAAAGTTCATCTTCAGATAAAGGAAAGGTGAAGATAAGGAGAAAGCTAAGAGAACCAAGGTTTTGTTTCCAAACAAGGAGTGACATTGATGTTCTTGATGATGGATATAAATGGAGAAAATATGGTCAAAAAGTTGTCAAGAACAGCCTTCATCCCAGGTACCTAATGATCTTTGCCCTAATTACCAGTTTCTTCTGTTTTCCTTTTTCCCCCCGAAAAGAACAACAACAGCCAGTAAAACTTCACAAGTAAAGTCTGGGAAGGATAGAGTGTACATAGACCTTACTCCTATTCAAAAGGAGTAGAGATATTGTTTCCGGGAGATCCTCGGCTCAAAGGACTAACAGAGACAATAGATCCTTTTTTCCCCAAAAAAGACTTAAATTTATCGTACAAAGTATAGGAAATTTGTTTGGCTTTAATTCCTTCTCCTACACTTAATTTTTTGTGAAAATAGCAACCACATTTAATTTTTCCCAGCTTCGCATTAGTTGTCATTTCTCGAAAGATGATACAATTTGGACACTGAACCTAATATTTCATACTACCAAATTTCTTTCAAGTTTAAATTAAAATAGAAAATGGAAAATGATCGTGTGCCTACATATAGTTTTGGGAAGTACAAGAAATGTTTAAATTGGTATTATTACTTCTACTCTATATCCAGTAGTGGGAGAGTGTTGACAGTAGGGATGGTCCATCTATATCTGTTGAGTTCTCCTCTAACCATTATTTTCTCTGCTTCCTTTTGTATTTTTGTACTTTGGCTTTATTTGTTTGAGTATTTTTCTCTTTTTCCAATTACCTTGTATTTCATATTTCCTACATTATGGCCTAAACAAGGTTAGACAGAAATTTGGTTATATATAGTTGGCTAATTAGCTTTAGGTATCGATTGCCATAGAACTAAGTCTTTTAATGATGCACTTGTTCAAATATATTTCGTTCAATTCAAACCTTGCAAATGGGAGAACGAACTAATTTTCAAAATGCGGATATAAATATTCATGGTTTTTGGGAGATCAGTCGAATTATGACGAAAAGCTCTCTCTAGATTGTTTAAATGTGTAATCATCTCATCTAAAAGCTTACGCTTTTAGAGAGAGCCTCCCTCACGTGCGGGCTTGATTCTTTTACATGAGCCAAGTACGTAAAAATTCTTTTTGATAATGAGTGACAATGAAATTCGAATCCAGGACCTCTGCTGCCAGCTCTGATACCATGTTGAAGTGTGTAACTATCTTATTCAAAAGCTTAATTAAGCTTTTTAGAGAGAGCACTTATTTATTTTGATTATATATGCTCAACATAGATTTTGACTATGTTGATTGATTTGTGCAAAAGTAGTATGACCATATCAATAGAATAAAAATTGCATATGTATACTCACTGCACATTTTAACATGCAATGCAACTTAATTAGGCATTTCAAAAGAAATTAAGTATTTTATAGAAAATTCTTGTCCAATACCTTTTACTAAGGCTAATAATGTAAACCAACTCCTAAATCAAATTACGGGTGTAATTTTTCCCGATCATATGCTCGAAAACTGGCATGTAGCATATTGTATATATAGCTAACCCAAAAGTTTAAATTTAGAGGTGTACAAAGAAAAACGATAAATCGTACCAAACCGATAATCCGAGTCAAACCGAAAAAAAAAATCCCGATTGTGGTTTGGTTTGATTTAGTTTGGTGTTGGAAAAAAACCCCTACCATAATTGGTTTGGTTTGATTTTAACTAAAAAAAAAAGTCAAACTGAGACCAAACCAACCCGACAGTATATTTATACAATTTTTTAAAAATATTTTATACATATAAATATTTATTGTAAATATTTCTTAAACTTATTCACAGTTTAATCTTTAAATATATTATTTAAAGTTTGAACTTAATATTCTTGATGGTCCAATAAATTTTATAGCCCATAAAGGTAGAAGGTCAAATAGATTTCAAATCAATACTAATACTAATAAAAAAAAATTCATATCAACACTAATTTTATAGCCCATAAAGGTAGAATATCAAATAGAGTTCGAATCAATACTAATACTAATAAATAAAATTCAATTCAACACTAGAATTGACAATAATATTGGATATCTATTTTTTAATTTTGCATTAGTAATATGCATAACTTAGTTTATCTTTTTCTTTAGTGTTTAGTTGTATAATTATACTTATTAGTTGTACTTATTTTAGCATGACCTATATAGTATTTTTAGATTATGTTAGCTTTTATTATGGCGTATTAATTAGTAATATTATCTTTATGCGATTTTATTATCTTTATTATTGAATATTTTAGTACAATGCTACGACTCATCTCGGATTATTGTGTTATTTTCTTGAAAAATACATTATATAGTTGTATCCTACTAAAACTAAAGAAATATTTGGAGCACAAGTTACATATTTTGTACTATGAAGACTTTATCAGGAAACCCCCCGAAAACCCGAAAAAACCGAGAAAACCGAGATTGAAAAACCTGACTTTATTGGTTTGGTTTGGTTTATAGATTTAAAGACCCAACACTATTTGTTTGGTTTGGTAATTAAAAAATCCGAATCAACCCGACTTATGTACACCCCTAGTTAAATTATTGATCTTCTGCTTGTACAATGCTTATTTACATACTGGTGTAACAATTGTTTCTTTGACTGATTTTGTTTCAACCAATTTCTGATTTGTTATTTAAAATGTTTCGCTTATCAGATATATAATTTTGTTATTGTAGGAGTTACTATAGATGTACACACAGTAATTGCCGAGTGAAGAAGAGAGTTGAAAGACTTTCAGAAGATTGCCGTATGGTAATAACAACCTATGAAGGTAGACATAACCATTCTCCTTCTGATGATTCAAACTCTTCAGAACATGATTGTTTCACCTCTTTCTAGAAATACGAGAGATTAATTCTGTATATACCATATTAGTACCTCTTTCAAACCATATATTGTCACAACGAATCATTATATTGTGCCTATCTTCATGTTACTGGCTTGGTAATGTCAGATTAGTCTTTTTTTCTTATTATGTATGGCTTAACATTGTGTCAAGCTCATAATTTATGTATTCTATAGCGGACGAATCTTGTCCATTCATTTAATTACTGGATGAATGTATCATATTAAAGTTAAAACCCTATAATTAAATGTTGGGAATAAACCCCTTACCAAAATAATATTCACGGTAATAAAGCGGAATAATAATGTAGCACCGAGATACGGTAATTAACAAGAATAAAAGAGTAACAATGACACCAAAATTTTTACGTGGAAAACCCTTCTGAATAAGGGAAAAAACCACGACCCCGAGAGGAGCAACTGATATCACTATAGTAAGGAATTTTACAACTTTGTAGGTCGGAGGTAAATACTCCAAAGACCACTACAACACTCAAAAGAAATAACCCTCTTTTGATATTCCCACCTCACTACAATATCGCTCACTCTCTATTTTCCTCACAGACTATTTTCTTATACCTTGTCTGTGAAACCTTACTCTTTCTTTCTCTCTTTGTTGGTGTGAAGAAATGAGAGTTGAAGCTCTCCTTTTATAGCCAAAGTTTCACTCTCTAAAGCCTACCATATTTGACAATTTACACACACTTTTCACAATTCAACAAAGTTGGCTACCAAACCAAAGAAATTCAACAAGGTTGGCTACCAAACCAAACTAATTCAACAAGGTTGGCTACCAACCAAACCAAGTCAACAAGGTTGGCTACCAAACCAAAGAAAACTCTTATTAGGCACATGCCTAATACTTCTTCAATGAGATGGACATCATCATTAAATTGGTCCTCTCCCTATTTATGATTACTGCCTCCATACACATTTGCATTGTGCGATAGCTAGGGCAAGGGGGAGAAATCAAATTTCTATAGGGTTGCTTGTTCTCCCATACCAAAATAACGCACCCTTATCAAGTAAATATTTTATGACGCTTTTATTAGAGATTATTATCAACAACATCCAAATATTAGTGTTGGATTCATTATTAGCATGTACGTCGATGGTTGAACAAATTTTACAAGTACACCTGTAATAGCTGCTTGTTTTGCTTAATTAAGTCATCATTCATATTCATGAGTTTTTTGGTAGGAAAAGCTGCATTTTAAAGAAAATGATGTTTAACAGTAATATCTGCAACTTAAATATACTTAGAGAGGGAGTACCTTTATACTACAGAAGAAACACACATTGCTTGATATTAGAGTTGAAGTAAACGTCTAAAAAATTATGAAACCTTTTCCCTTAGATTTTCTTTTTCTTTTTAAGAAGAATAAGGATTTCTAATTAGGGCAACCATATTAACATTTGTTTTCCTAATGGTCTATTTTGGTGATTCTTTTGGTCAGTTGAAGTAGAACCTACTACATCTAATGGAATGAACCATCATACTAACGGTCATTGTCTTTTGGGTTAAATATCTTTCTGGTTATTAAATTTAAACAAAATGAAAAAACAAAAACATAACCATTAACCAGTACCAAGAATATGATCAGCTCTTCTTAGGAAAAACAAATATTAGGATAGATTCCTTAGGCATCACGAAAACATAGAATTAAGTGATAGTCTAAAGTCAAAGCTCAAAATGATTATGCAAATCTTAAGTAGTAAACATCTTTGAATATGAGGGAAGTTTGGTTTCAAAGTAACTGTATGGAAAAATAAGGATTTTTTTTTTTTGGGTAGAAGGACTTTTGGGCAAGTTGAGACGTCATAAATCTAGTGATTCTTGTATTGACCAGTAGAGGAAAAAACTATCCAGGCGTTGATTAAAGCATTATCTCAATCCCTCAATTAGACAAGAACTTGTTATAGGAATTGGGAGTCTCACGAATCCTAAAACATGCCATTAATCTAAATGAATTGCACTTGAAAACTTGACCAAGATGATGCTGGTGTTGTAATTGCTGCTAAGTAGTTGGAGTGAACTGTTGAACTTTGTAACCACTAATGGATACGTGAGATTGGAATCTCTTTTTGTTTTAATCAGATGTCTCGGGTTAGATCCTTTGGAATGAACAATCATGTTCAATAGGGAGCATATTGACACAAGTCCGATAACAAATGGTTAAACTAGAAAAAAAGAAGAAGAAAAGAATGGTTAGTTCAAGTAATCCATAGATTTACCTACACATCTCATGAGTAGTATAGTATAACGTGGATGCTTTGTTCCCTATTCCAGATTAAGTAACGTGGTTCTTGATTTTGGAAAACCAGTTACTAATTATAAGTTCACATATTTAAGTATTCGGAGGTAAAGAAATCTCAACAAAGACGTGGAACGGTTTTCACTGAAGATCCTAAGCTCTGTTTTAAAAGGCAGAATTGGGACTCGCTCGGGGCTCGCTCTGGGGCGGAGCACTCATAAAACGTCTCCCGGTTTATATGTGGGGCTTAGTTCCGTAAGACTTACGCCTCGGTCATCGGGGCTTATGCCCCGGACGCGCCCAACGCCCAGCGTATTGGGCTCGCCTAATAGGACTTTATGCAATTGTGTGTAACTAACCTTGTAGATCCTCAAATTTTCTCAATAAATCGTTGGTTATTCAAAATTATTTTTTCTTAATCATAAATCATTAAGTTGAGAGTATTTTATGTCATAATTAAAATAAAAATTATTGCATGTTATCTACTAAGGCTGCTATGATAGTAGATTTTTAAATAAATTTTTTATTTAAAACTATTTATTTATTAACTTTTGTTATGTCTTTATTATATTAGTCCATAATTTTATTTATAATTATTTTCTAAATATTTGTTTTACGTTTAGGAGATACAATACTTATTAACTTAATAGCTTAGTATTAACTAGTAACTATTTACAAATAATTAGTTATCATGATATAGTATAGTGAATTATGTGTCACTTTATAAACTTGTTGAAGCTTAAAAATAAATGATGCCAGAGAATCATATTTAAATTGTGAATTATATTTTTATATAAATTCTCGTTCAAATAGAAAACATATTAAATAAAAGGAGTATTTAAAAAAATCAAACTATGATATCGAAATTCTTTCAAGATTCATTACTCATTAAGAGATACATATAAGATTTCGCATCGAATACATTACTTTTGATATTTGAGTTGTAAAGGCGTTGCAGCTAATTTGCATATTATGGTATATGTCATACTTTTTGTATTATTCATAGTTGAATTATAATTTATAAATATTTTAAATAGATTATTTGCTATAATTTTGTGATTTTAATGTAATTTTATAATTATTTTTTATTTTATACTATCTTAAAATTCTTGAAATTAATAAAATTTAAAAATCCGTGGGACTTACGTCCCATGTCAGATGGCTTACGCCTCGCCTCGCCTCGCCTCGCCTCGCCTCGTCAGAGGTAAAACGCCTCGCCTCACGCCCTCCCTTTAAAACATTGATCCTAAGAAAACAGGATCTTAAGGGAAGCTCAAAGTCCAAAGTATCATTATTATGGATATTATAGTAAAATATGTATTTTGTTTACTAATTCTTAAGTGCAGTGCATAGTCCACTGTAGACAAGTAACGGAGGAGGAAGTATTTATGAGACTATCGAACCATCTTGGTTTGTTATTAACGGAAAACTTCTGCTGTATCGCAAAGAAAATTTGTTGAATAGTGGGGCAACTAGTGACTAACATTATCATGGTGCCACTCCTAGTGGCGTACTCAAGATTTTTAACAAGAATTACCATCCAATTATCACAATTCGTCTTGTAAACTAATTTTAGCATAGGATTGTACCTTGCAGTGGTTTTTGTGTTGAATTAGCTGTTCACGCCTGAACCCGCATCTAGTCCCAGTTAAGTATATGACTCTCCTTCCCACTTGTGAAGGCAGAAATTTTTTTAAGGGTGTTCAAACTTGAAAGAAATAAAAATTCTTCGACAAAGAGTGTTCAATATATATTATATACCTAATATTTTACATATATACTCAGTGTTATTTTCCGATGAAGGGTGGTTGACATATGACTTCGCCCATGCCTCTTCCTCATTTTGTAGAATATATGCCCCCAGCAACGTGTCTAAACTTATCCCGGGATGTGTCTTTATATTTCTATGCACATAATTATAAACTAAACCCATGAATATTGGAAAATAAGGGGACCTGATTCATACAAAGTGGGAATCTTCATGTTATGTGCCTGATTCATACAAAGTGGGAATCTTCATGTTATGTGTGGAGGGGCACGTCATAGCCTAAATTAGAACATTTTAGGCCCAAGCATAGCTAAAAACTTGTAAAAATAGCACGGTATAGCCAGTTTTCGGATTGGTCATTTAAAAATAGCCAGCGTTTATGAAGTCAATAAAAAATAGCCACTATTTTGCTGCAACAGAGACCGGTCCAACATAATATACTGGAGTTCGATGCACCTATATATGAACTCCAGCATATTATGTTGGACCGGTATACTTTGCTGACTCCAGTATAATATACTGGAGACTGGAGTGTCGGTGCTCCAAACTCCAGTATATTATACTGGACAATTATACTTCGTGGAACTCCAGTATATTATGCTGGAGTTCTAGTGTGCTTATGCTAGAACTCCATCATATTATGCTGGAGTTCCAGCATACTTATCCTGAAACTTCAGTATAATATGCTGGAATTCAAGCATACTTATGCTTAGAACTCCAGTATAATATATTGGCGTATTTTTCGGGTTTTGAACAGTGTTTTCACTCAGATTTATCTTTACATGAAAAGTGGCTAAATTTCGATTACTTTTGAAATTTAGCTATTTTTGAACGACCAGTTGTAAATCTGGCTATTTTTGAATTTCTCCCCTAAAACTTAGACTAGAAATATAGTAGGCCAACTCAAGGAGTTCGACAGGATAGACAAACTCTTAAGCTGAACCACTTAGTAAACTATAGAGAAAAAATTATAAAAAGAGTGGTAATTTTTCTAAGAGAAATTTTCATAAAGCACTATCTTTTAGCGGTAATTAACTATCTATAGATACCATTTGCTATATTATGAATTGTAGATACGTTTTTTGTTGTTATAAGATGTATTAGATGTATTTAACCTACTATATTCATGAATACAATAGCAAAAATAGGCATGAATCAGGGAAGTCC